GACCATATAGTTTCCATATTCCTTCTTATCTTAAGACTGAGTTCACACAGGCTTCTTTTGTCCTTTGTCTTGAGCCTGGGTGTGCACAGGCTTCATTTGTAAAGACACAAAACTGTGTTCCTCTCACCACTGAAGTTACTGGAAGCTGAGGATACCAGGCAGTCCCTACCTTTAGGGTAAAGGCATTGTCAGAAATGTCTCAGTTGTTTCTATTTTCTTGTATACAAGTGGCTGTCAGTTTTAATCTCCTTCTGCCTGAAACCAGTGATCTGGTTATAGACCAGGTAGTGAATGGGAGGGCATTACAGGTTCACACTGCTCCAACACCGTCAGCATTCATCTTAGAGCTCTAAAATGTGTGATTAGGAGCCTAAGATACCTTGTTTGGCTGTCGAAACAAAATGAGGTTGTGATTTAGGAGCTGTTCTGAACAGCAATACAGAACTGTTAGCTGTTGCCTCCGAAGGCACAGTGATGCATTAGGGAATTACATCACTAAAACATGTACTCGTTTATTTCTCTTTCTTAGAGGTACTTGGTTCTGTTGCTATTGTTAACTGGGAAATTGAGCAAATATGTAATTGTCAGACATATATAATGCAAATACTAAAATTTCCTTTTTTGTTGCGTAATATATATCCTGGGGTTTTTTCTTCATTATATACCTATAGTGTGACTGCAAAGACAGAGAATATACTGAAGGACAAGTCAGGTGTCTGGAACTTTATCTAGCTGTGGAAACATGGGAATTCAGAGCAAAGTTCAAACATATTAAATACCCTAATCTGAACACTTTCAGGTGTGTTGAAAGTATAGTTTCCTGTTCAATAGGATGCCTGTGAATGTTTCTGAACAGCTATAATGGAGGAGATTAAGGAGGGAGGTTACTTCCCTAACTGCCTTACCTGCAGCTAATGACCTTTTTTAGTGTCTCTAAATGAAAGAACTTCTTGTTTAAAGTTTAAAATTCTAAAGTTTAGTTTCTGAAGTTTAAAGTTCTAAAGTTTAGTTTAAAACATGACTGGTAACTCAGAAATGCCTGGCTCTTTCAGACAAGCTACAAACCTTGGACAACTGATAAAATGTCTCTGTACTTCAATTTCCCATCTTTAGATAGTGGTGCAACTATTTATATACCAGGAGTATTGTGAAGATAAATTCCTAAAAGTTTTGTGGTGCAGCTGCATATTTTGCTGAAATATATAATTGTACATCTGCAGTATATTGTGCAAGATTCTTCCAGTGACAGCCCAGTTCCTGCTATCACTTTTTTGTAAGCAACGATCTTGGTAGTTTTAGATCATGTCAATGCAGTAATGTGGACACACTATGACTCCTGTCATAATTTGTAGAGGTATGTGAAGGGAATTTTTATTAAAAAAAGGTCAGGATTTTTTTTCCTTTTTTTAAATTATAAGCCATGGTTCAAAAGAGAAGTTAAATTTCATCAAAACAAATGACAACAAAGCGAGAGTTGAAACAGCATTTCAGACTGAAGATGTAATATAGGAAGAGAATTGCTCTTGAAACCTGGTGTGGTCTTGAAAATGTTATTAGGGCCTGATTTCAGAAGAGGCAGTTAAGTGCCTGTATTGCTACTTTCCAGCTTTCCATCTTGTCTCCCTTGTAAAGATTAAAAATACTAATACATGAACATGATCTAATACATACATCCCAAGAACTGGATGCCAAGAACTGGGGAGGATGCAAAAATATTCTTAGAAAAAATTATCTACCTATCTTATATCTATCTATCTTAGAAAATAAAGTTGACAATGTTCAGAATATGTAATATTGAATGGAACTCTTTGCAGAAAGGAACAAATACTCTGAAAGTATTAAGGGAGCTTAGGTGATGTAATTGTTGCAATTGTTTCAGACTTCTTGTAGTAACATTAAATTCAGATTTCCAAAGAGATAATTTATTGTTTAAGTGTATCTCCTAGCCTTTTTTTCTTCAGAAAATCAGTATTAAATGCTTTGATTGTCTGCATCTTCATTCCCTATTATACTTCCTACTGTTTCTTTCCAGCATGAAAAGGTTAATTATTATCCTTATGTTATATTGATCCCATCTATAGCATTTTATTTCCCGTCTGCTTCATAGGAGGAGTAAGGTTTTGTGTGTGGTTGTATATATGAAGAAATATTTCATAGTGCTTTGCATCTATAGAAGCTCTTTTATAATTGAAGGTGGAAAAATAGGATCATTCCTGTTAAATGATGAACTTAACTTGTATGTAGGGATGGAGCTAATTAGGATTCTGAATGTACAAAATTCACCTTAGATTCATTCATGATTGGAAGCTTCCAAGTCCTATTTTCACTGTGGATTTGAACCTGTAGGTTCAGTTTATTGAGAGCTAAGGTTTGGCTTGCTTCAAAGGAAATGACTTGAAACAGTGTGTGATACTGACAGAAAACCATAAAATGAACGGAACTCATAGGAATCTTAGCCTACAGATCAAAAGTCTGCAGTTGTTTTGACAAAGAGCTAGTGTTTCAAATATGTAAGCAACTTTGCATCTGCTGTGTTTTGCAACATTAAATTTTCTTACCTTTGTCATTTTATTTTCTCCTTTGAGGTACTGTCACTCAATTCATAAGGCAACTGTCTATTAATAACAGATTTTAAGTAACTTTGAGTTGTAAGCTATGTGATGTTATGAGGTTAGTGACTGTGCAGTTCTTCAACAGGACAGATGTCCAACAAATTTTAATCTTCTAGAATGCATGAATGTGTGAACTGCACACTGCATAAGTAATAGCTGACAAGGGACCTTTATTAAAGCTACAACACATAGGTGCATGTTAATACACTCAGATCTATAATATCCTATGTCGTGGTTTAACGCCCGTTAGCAACTAAGCACCATGTAACTCTGTCCCAGCCAAAGCCAGCACAACCTGTTACAGGAACATAAATCCACTATTGCCTGGCATGTAGAATATTTTGTGTTTAAGGCTTTAGCCTGGCTTTGGAAATCCACATTTTCACATGAAAAAGTATCACTTTCGAAAGAAAAATGCGAGTTTATTTTTCAGTTTTTGTTAGAAATGCTATCCACTGTTTTAACTGTTGTCTGTTTTCATAGAATCATAGAATCACTGGGTTGGAAAAGACCTTAGAGATCATCCAGTCCAACCGTATCTGTCCACCACTAAACCATATCTTTCAGCACCTCATCCACCCGTCTCTTAAACACATGCAGGGATGGTGACTCCCCCCCCTCCCTGGGCAGCCTGTTCCAGTGCGTGATAACCCTTTCGGTGAAGAACTTCTTCCTTACATCCAATCTAAACCTCCCCTGGCGCAGCTTGAGTCCTTTCCCCCTCGTCCGATCATCTGTCATTAGGGAGAAGAGACCAACACCCACTTCTCCTCAACCTCCTTTCAGGGAGCTGTAGGCAGTGATCAGGTCTCCTCTCAGCCTCCTCTTCTCCAGGCTAAACAAGCCCAGTTCCCTCAGTCGCTCCTCATAAGACATATTCTCCAGACCCTTCACCAGTTTTGTGGCCCTTCTCTGGACACGCTAAAGGACCTCAATGTCTTTCTTGTAGTGAGGGGCCCAAAACTGAACACAGTACTCGAGGTGCGGCCTCACCAGTGCCGAGTACAGGGGGAGAATTTTGCATTAGAAATTGAAATTGTGCTATTTTCTTTGCTGATAGAACCCTGTAGTTATGGAGCGCTTCCATATGTCTTGACAAAAGCCGACAAGGGGGAACAGTGGCTGGAACTTATCTTCTAGTTTTGTGGGAGGCAAAGGCTTTCTGTGTTGTTGCATCTGAAGTAACTAGGAGTGAGCAACATGCATTGTATTCTGGAATTTCGGAAAACATTGTAGGGCCCTTTGGACACAATGATAAAACCTTGGTTGAAATGCAATCCTAAGTAATTACTTTAATGAATTACTGAATTACTTTCTAATGGAAAGATTTTTTTTGTTTGTTTCCCCCCTTTTTTCCTTTCCCCCCCCCTCTCTTAATCTTCGGTTCATTTTATTTCCAAGGATTTTTGTATTTGGCCCGCTTGAATTTAGTCACTCTAAATCTGCTTACTTTAGATGTCAGGCAGAGTAAGATTTTCTTTTAATATTTTTAGAAATACAAAACTAGCTGATTTTAAGAGGATTGTAATAAATAGGTGTGCACTTGTAGCTTGTTGCAATATTCATTGAGCTACTGTAGAACAATAGAGAAGTTTTTTATATGCATGTTGTCTAGCCCTTGATTTTTAAGATTCAGTTGGACTACAGACATACAACCCATAATGTCTTTGTCATCTACAGTGCATCTTTTGCCATCTACAAGGCACAAAACAATGAGCTGTCTTTGCTCCTGTGTCTTTCTCTGAAGGTTCAGAATAATCTTCTTGAATGAAGATTGAGGGCAGTGTTTGATCTATTCTTTGTCAGTTCAGAATGGGCAGTTAGTATATACAGTGATATAATTTGTAATGTTTTAAGAAATAATCACTGATAGACTGACAATTTCAGAGGATTTCAGAGGACTTCATATCACAAGCAGTTGCTTTTATATGGTTATTTAGCACAATATTCTTTCTCTTTCCTATTTCCTTGAGAAATTACTACATTCTGTCAACTTACTGGTCTGTAAGTGTAAGTTCACAAGATGTTTTGAATACAACAGACCATGTCAGTGTTACAAGCATTAACCAGAAGCTGGTCTTTTTTCTCATTCCTCTGAACAATGAAGCCCACATTACAGTTTGTGGCCTCAAAGAACATTGATTACCACGTCCAGGTCCCCACTGATTTCACAAAATACTGTGGTGAGCTACGGTAGTGCTGCAGTACGTATGTCTAGAGGCAAGTTATGTGTAGATTTTAGGTGCACTTTGCTGTCCGGTCCATAATCCTCGAAGCTCTTCTAGATTATCACATTAGGTGTCCATGTGTCATTGATTATGTGTTTACTAATCTAGCTAAATGTTACAATTTTTAAAAAAACTCTCTAATTTTTTGTTTACATGACAGCCCAAAACAGCTCCGAAAAGGACATTTGGATCCATTACAAACGATCAGGTAAATATACGTTAGGGAGTGTTCAATGGCAATACCAGTTTCATTATTTCAGAGACTACTCTGTGCATGAATCCACTAAAAATAATGTTATGAATATTGAATAAGGTAAGAGTTGCTTATTGCCCTAATAAAGAGTCTTATGCTCAAGGCCAGAGTCTCTTAAAGCTAATCCTGGCTCTGAGGTGGCATAACCTTGTTTTGCCTCAAATAGTTAGTTGCCTTAAACTCTCTCTTTACATTTAAAAAATTAACCTTTTTTTATTTCTCACTCCCATTCTTCTGTACTGGTGGGGATAATAATATAACAAATAATTTTTACCAGTCTGTCATTTTAATGGTGAAAGGTACTATATAAATGTTAATTATCTATTACGCATTTCCTGTGAACTCATGCACTTCCTGGTGTGAACGAAACCGTCACTTCACTGGGATAATGTGGTGACTCTGGTACAGTTCAGTTCAAATAACAGTCTGACCCTAATGTAAACTTTCACTTCATTGAGGTTTTAATGATGATAGAGCCACTTATTTCAACATCAAGAACTTAATCCTGAAGGGTTCTCTTCATGTTTCTCTCAGAATTTTAAACTCTCAATTTCTTTGCTCATAAGGGAGAGATTTTATAATGTTAAAAGATATATTTTTGAGTATTTCATCCTCTTTTTGGGGAGTTTAGAATGGGAAAAGGGTCTGTTCTTAGAAAATACATTTTTTTAAAATACATCATAATGTCACACCTAACCTTTTCCTTTAAACAACATGATATAGGCTTGCTTGAATTAGGAGCAAGTATAACTTTGTGTAACTCGTTTTTTTTCGTGGTTTAAAAATATGTATAAACCTTTAATAAATTGCAAGAAATACTTTTGGATAATACCTTTCCATATAAAATTACTCAAGTGTTAATAATTAACTTGGAGGAGATCTTTGCATTCTTCTCTCTTTCTCCAGTAGTTTACTGCTAGTGATAGGGAACTGAAGCTCTGTATTTTATATCCAACTGCTGTTATAATGAAAAAAATCTTTCTGGTACTTGATAGTTGAAGAAGATTAGAAATTGCTATGCATATGTATAGCTGCATGTATCCAAAGTCTGTGTGAAGTGTTTGTTGTAGTAAAGGATCTAATGCAGAATAATCAGCGGCCATCTGTCAACTTGTGTACAAATAAAGAAGAAAAAGATAAGTGACAGTTTTTTCCTTCTAGCTTCTGTTACTTTCTTTTCTGGAAATCTATGTTAAAGCATAGAATATATAATTCATCATTTCTCAGTAATTATGAAATTTATTGCAAATAACTACTAGCCAGATTGAAGATGAAGAGGAAACTCGCACTCCGCCTTTGTGAAGAGACCAGCATAGAATTACCATTCTAAAATTTAACCTAATTGGTTCAAAATTAACATCTTGATTTAGAAACAATTTGCAAGGCTTATATTTTCATATGCCTTCTACTAAAGAAGCAAAAGCTGTATTTGTTTTATTGTTTCAAAATGTGTTCCAGTTCACTTTAGACTGTCCCTAGTTGCAATTTATTGTCACAAATACTGTGCAAGGAGCACAGTAATTTTTGAAATGTGCACGGATAGTTCTTTTCCACGAAAGAAATTATTACTTATGTAGGGTCAAATTACGGCTTTGAGAAAACAAATCAGTGAATGAGTACAGCCTTACACAGAATCAGACCTATAAAGGCATTCACTTAGTGGTGGGTAGCAAGAGAGAGCGAATACAAATCTTCTGCAAGTAATGAGAAATAAGGAACCTTGCAGACTGTGAACATTTTCTTTCCCTTTGGTCTGAAGTGTCTCAATTCAGTTTAGAACACACACACAATTGCATGAGTAAAGGCAAGAGGAAAACACAGTGAACAGAAAGAACCAGGCTGCATGCAGTTGTTCATTGTGACAAATATGACACATTAAAAAAAAAAAAAATCTTAATTAGTCAGCATCTTTATCAATGCTTTCTTTTTCTGGCCATCATATACCTTCAGCTTTAGCAACAGGCATTCTAGTTCTGCCCTTATAGAGGATGCAGCTGGAAAATTGTTCATGTCCTTTCTTCCTCTGAAGGGTGGGAGATGGGAGCAGAGAAAAGAGGATAATCGTGATACTCTTAATCCCTGCTTGTCTGAAGAGACAGCAGAAGAGGGAACCTAGTTCTAGATTCCAATCTTTATCTTATCAGACTACTTTGTCAACACTAGTGTTTTGAAAGAAACTGTTTATGCAATATATGTAGGATTCCTTTACAGTTCTAGGAGTGTTAGGTGTTCAACAAACCCCATGAAAAAAATATTATTTTCCAATTATCTCATATTCTGGTATATTTTTTGAAATGAAAATAAATTTTCACTACAAATATAAAATTGATCAAGAAAAGAATATTTTTAATGAATTTTAAAATATATTACTAATAAGCTGTTATGACTTATCTTTGTCTGTATAATCTGACTCCTGAATTATGTAGTAAGCCCCTTTTCAATGATGGTGGTGTGTGTTTTAATGCTAATTTTTCAGATCATGCCCAGAGTTGCTCCACGAGCAGAAAAATGGTTCCTTTATCTTTTTCCTTGAAACTGAATACTGGCTTTGGCCTTCCAATGTATGCATCCTGTCTTTCCTTTGGATGTGGTTGAACTTTAGCTTCATTCCTCTTCTCCACGCTCACTCATTCAATACAGAAACCAAATTAAATATGTCCAGGAATTTATTAACTTTTCTGTAGAAATAGACTAACCAATAATAATAATAAAAACAAACAAAAAACCCCAAACCAAACAAAAACAACCCCAACAAAAACCAAAACACAACTTCTCTCCCACATCCCCCCCGGCCCTCCCATTTTTCTAAAGTGTCTGTTTGGTCTGAAGCTTGCTTAAGGCCCTGGAGCTTAAAACAAAATCAAACATTGCACAATAAAGGTAAATATGGAAATGCGTATCTCTGTATACAGTATATAGATAGAAATACATGTTCCATGACAATTTCAGAATATTAATGAGATGTTTCTCTATTTAAATATGCTGTCATGCTAAAGTATTTTCTTTCTATGTTTTGTAGGGTCAAAATGTATTTGGTCTTGATATAATTGAGACACCTGAGGGAGATAAGTGGCCTCAACTGATTGTCCAACAGATCCTGGATAGGGAGCAGAAGGATACCTATGTGATGAAAATTAAAGTTGAAGATGGTGGAAGCCCTCCAAGATCTAGCACTGCCATCCTTCAAGTCACAGTGACTGACGTGAATGATAATCGCCCAGTCTTCAAAGAGAATGATATTGAAGTCAGTGTTCCGGAAAATGCTCCAGTGGGCACCTCTGTTTCTCAGCTCCATGCCACTGATGCAGACCTGGGCTCAAATGCACAAATCCACTTCTATTTCAGCAATCAGATCTCCAGTTTGGCCAAGAGGCTGTTTGCCATTGACAACACCACTGGCCTCATCACTATAAGAGAACCACTAGATAGGGAGGAATCTCCAGTACACAAATTAACTGTTTTGGCAAGTGATGGTAGTTCAACTCCATCAAGAGCAACAGTGACTGTTAATGTCACAGATATTAATGACAATGTCCCATCAATAGACACAAGATACATCATTAATCCAGTGAATGGGACAGTGCTTTTGTCTGAGAAGGCTCCCCTTAACACAAAAATTGCATTGATAACAGTAATGGACAAGGATGCTGATCTGAACGGAAAAGTTACTTGTTTTACAGATCATGATGTCCCTTTCAGGCTAAAGCCAGTGTTTGATAATCAGTTTCTCCTGGAGACAGCCACTTTTCTAGACTATGAAGCCACACGGGAATATGCCATTAAAATAGTGGCTTCGGATTCAGGGAAACCTCCCTTAAACCAGTCTGCAATGCTCCTGATCAAAATTAAAGATGAAAATGACAATGCCCCAGTTTTTACACAGCCTATCATAGGTCTTTCCATCCCTGAAAACAATGCTCCTGGTACTCAGCTAACCAAGATAAGTGCTACGGATGCTGACAGCGGTCGCAATTCTGAGATCAGCTATATCCTGGGTTCTGATGCACCCACTATTTTCAACCTTGACCGCCGTACAGGCATTCTGACAGCAGTGAGAAAGCTGGACAGGGAAAAGCAAGACAGGTACTCCTTCACTGTGCTGGCTAAGGATAATGGGATGCCACCCTTGCAGACCAATGCTACTGTGACAGTGTCAGTCCTGGACCAGAATGATAACAGCCCTGCTTTCACACATAACGAATATAATTTTTATGTGCCAGAAAACTTACCCATGTATGGCACAGTGGGGCTTATCACAGTTACAGATGCTGACTCTGGAGAGAACGCTGCAGTCACTCTCTCCATATTAAATGGTAGAGATAATTTCATTATAGATCCACTTACTGGTGTAATAAGACCTAATATTACCTTTGATAGGGAACAGCAAGGGTCATATACTTTCCAGGTGAAAGCTGTGGATGGAGGAAGACTACAGCGTTCCTCAACTGCCAAAGTGACCATCAATGTGGTTGATGTAAATGACAACAGGCCTGTTTTTGTTATTCCTTCATCCAATTATTCGTATGAGTTGGTTCCAACATCAGCCAGTCCAGGGTCTGTACTCACTAAAGTCTTTGCAGTTGATAATGACACAGGAATGAATGCAGAGCTACGCTATAGCATCATAGGTGGGAACTCCCGGGGCTTGTTTACAATTGACCAATTAACAGGCAATATTACTTTGAAAGAGAAAGTAATTACATCAGATCATGGCTTGCACAGACTGGTGATAAAAGTCAATGACCTGGGACAGCCGGAGTCTCTTTATACTATAGCTCTTGTGCATTTGTTTGTGAATGAGACGGTCACCAATAGTTCCTATGTGCAAGAACTAGTGCGCAGGAATATGGAAACTCCAGTTGGCCAGAATGTTGGGGACGGTGAGATAACCCCACAAACCAATGATTATGTCAAGATCATCATTGCCATTATTGCAGGCACTATGACAGTTATTTTGGTAATTTTTGTTACTGCTTTAGTACGGTGCCGCCAGACGCCTAGGCACAAGGTTGTCCAAAAAAACAAGCAGAGTGGTGAATGGGTTTCCCCAAACCAAGAGAATAGGCAGATCAAGAAGAAGAAGAAGAAGAAGAAGCGCTCTCCAAAAAGTCTCCTTCTCAACTTTGTGACTATTGAAGAATCTAAGCCTGATGATCCTGGCCATGAGCACATAAATGGCACTTTAGACATTCCTGTAGAGCTAGAAGAACAGACTATGGGAAAGTATAATTGGGCCACCACACCAACCACATTTAAGCCTGATAGCCCAGATTTAGCAAAGCACTACAAGTCTGCTTCTCCACAGCCTACCTTTCAAATTAAACCCGAAACTCCTGTACCCCCCAAGAAGCACCATGTCATTCAGGAACTGCCTCTAGACAACACCTTTGTGGTGGGCTGTGACTCACTCTCCAAGTGCTCATCAAGCAGCTCGGACCCTTACAGTGTTTCTGAATGCAGCTGTCAAGGAGGCTTCAAGACCCCAGGCCCCATACACACCAGACAGGTAATGGAAATTTTAAGGTGCTTTCTTTCTTCTTCACCTCTTACTTTGCCATTCCTATGATGCTAGCTCTCTAAACACTGCAAACTTTTTCTGAAAGGATTACAAGTTTGAAAGGTCATGTTTGGTCGAGCATTGAAGGTAAACAATTCAAGGTTCATCAGTGCTAAGGGAGAAAATTAAAATAACGTGCCTGTTGGCTCTAAGGAAATGGAATTATTACATTGGTAGGTATTCCTGACTGCAGATGGCAGCATGGCACTTCCTGCATTGCACAGCACCAGTGCAGCTCTGTAAGGCAGAGAGGGGTTATGGCACCATCCTCTGTAGTATTGTATGCTCAAGAATTGAAGTAATCTAGGCCAGGTGGAAAGCAATAAAGCTTTACAGGATCTGATAAGTGGTTCTTAATATTAATGGAGTCTGGAAGTGCAGCCTTCATTTGGGCATAGCTTTACTTCAAGGTCTCTCAAAAGCAGGCAGAGATTTCCCTCTGAGAGTTCAGTGCCATTTGCAGAGTAGAAACATACTGGACTGCTTAGATCTGGTGGAATGAGACAGTTGACAGGCAAAGTTAGGGGAAAATTAGAAGCATCAGTATAATTGCTCTCTTTTTTGCTGCTATGCCTGATAAACCAGTTATTAGCTTCTTAGAAATTCAGTACAACAAAGGAAAACTATAACGAATACTCAGCTTAAAATTAAAAATAAAATGAGAACCGAAGGACCTTTTATTCTTTGAGACCCTATAGAATGGCTTTAAGTCACTGGAAATCAAATCTAATGTCTGTCCGTTTTCTGGAAGGTTTCATTAATAATAATGCCTTGCTGTTTGTCTGTTTACTTCTGTTTCTTCACAAATACCACAAAGTTTTCTATGAAAATAGTTTTCTAGTTAAGCTTTAATTGGTCAAGGAATTGATCATCAAAGAAATATTTCACGAGAGTTTATGATGTTATTGATAATATATTTTAATACTGTTGTTTCGGAACAGATACTCAGCATGTCTAAGTCTGTTAGACTTTTTGCTCCAGCTGAGGTTTTGAAGTTTTTTCTGTGGCCTTTGTTTCATGGCCACTGTAGTGACAACAAAATGTGCTTAGAAAGCTCCTCATTCAAAGTAGTCATCATGTTTTTGGAAACTGCGGTATGGGTTGTTTAGTTGATTCTATTTTATCCCCTTTATCAACAGAAGTCTGTGCAGTAGTCCATATCACTACGCTTTATGCAACTTTCATCTTTTTCTGAGATGTGTTAAGAGAAAAAGTGAAGGGGGAAAAAAAAGATTTCTTATTCCTAAGACATGACAGCAATGAAAAATGTATAGCTTTTTGAGATTTGAGTATTTTCTACTAAAGATATTTGAACCTGTTAATTTAAATTATGGGTTAGAAAAGCTTCTTGCTGATTTGTTAATCTGTTTGAACTCTCATAACTCTGAAGAGGGTGGTGCTGTTTTCAGCATTTCTGGAGCTTCATCTAAGTGATTTTTCAATTGAGTTCTGGTATAGTTTCTCTGAGCCAAAAAGGTTCTTCCATTGTCTGCTCAAATACACTTTGTCATGCAATAATGCCGCTAACAAAGAAAGCAAGATCACTGCTCTCCCGGTTTTTACTAACGGTTCTTCCATCAGAATGGGCTTTTAAAGCAGAATCGAAAGCAATTCTCTTCTGCAGAGGTTGGTTGAGGAAAGAGGATTTTCTTTTATCTGTACCTTAAAGGTCAATGACAGGGGCTCCCTGTCTGTCTGGAAGAGCAGAATAGAACTCTAGGGTGTGGTGGGGTTTTTTTTGTTTGTTTGTTTGTTTTTGTATTAAATACTTATTACCTGACATTAGCTTATCTTCATATAACTATACCTGAAATTGTATTAGTATGATGCACTGAATATATCAAAGAGAGATTAATGTTACTACTGATTTTGTTAAATCCAGTTATCCTTTTAGATTTATTTTTCTGTATGGAAGTGATCATGTTGTTGGAGAAAGTATAACTACTCACTATAAATGGCCTTGTACACTAATTTAAAAACCACATTCACCTTTAAATAAATATGTGAATTCACATTTTTATTACTTATTTAGATAAAATACAAGTAATTTCATAAATGCATTTATTTACATAAAGTGGGCAAGAAATATCATTACAGTTAAATCCTTTGTGCTGGACAGAGATCACAGGGGCAGGTTTGTATTTCATAAGTGAAACCAAGCAAAGTATTTCTCAAATCTCAATGGATGTTTTAAAAGTCAGTCTTAATCCTGAGCTGGTCTTGTACATTGTAGTCTGTATGGTTTTATCTCCTGTGGGGATAGAGAAGGTGGCTCAGGTCAGACTAACTCGGAGTTGTCACTGTTGGCCAGTAAAGAAACGAAACAAAAATAAGCTTCTGCCACAGTGCTTCAGATGTGCTGTCCCACCATCTGCCACCCTCGGAGACTAGTGATGCGTTTGTGTCGTGCACTCTCTGGATCTTCAGGAAACTGTAGGACAGCCAGAAGTATTGAAGGATAATCAGTTCAGTTAAACAGTGAGATGTGCTAGTTTGGAAAATGAAAATAATGTCTAATGTGGAGAAAAAATAAATTATCGCTAACAATTGCTGAAATGCATCCCTTGTAGGAGCCAAAAGCTCTCTGGAGGAGACTAAAGATCACGCTCGCTGTGAAGATATCTCTTCAGTTTCTAATGTGTACTGATATATCAACACTTCTCAACTGTGCTTAGTTTTGTCCATGTACGACTTTCTACTCAGATACTTGAAATTTTATTGGGTTAAAGCTAAAACTATGTTTTCCTTTGAAAGTCTGAATTCTGTGTATATCTGTTTGGTATTGATTCAGGTCTTTAAAGAAAGGAAATTATGTCTTTGCTTTACTGCTAAATTTGTCTAAGTGATTTGTAAAATGACAGAAAGTCATTTTAACAGTTGTACTCAAAAAGCAGATTGAAAGGTTTTTTCTACTAAAAACCCCAAGTATCTCTCTATTACTCACATGGGCAAATAAAGAGTGATGCAACAGCTGAAATTTTTATGGAGAAGCTGTCAGAGACTCCTGAAGCAGCTGAGGACACACTGAATCATGAACGACCGGAAGTTGAAGAGGGGAAAGTGTGGTCCTAATGCAGTCTCCCCTAAGCGAGAGATCATGCTTCTGTTGTACGTGAGAAAGAGCAAGGGAGAGAGAGATATTACTATTATTTTGAAGTTACACAGTAGGAATTAATGAATACTAGTGACAGTAGACCACAATAGCATGTTTTCTTTTGGGATGTGGTAGAGAGAATTCTTTTAAAGAAATTTTACCTAGTGATAAACTGTGAAGGGGCTTCCTATTCATAGTAAGAGTTTTCAAACTACGATATTTGGAGGCTCATAAAATCACACTGTCTTTTAGTGTCATCAGATTTTTATTGTTTTGATAGTCATGGACTTCATAGAAAGATGTATTTCTGTGGTAGAAAACCATGCAGCACCTATAAAGTTTATCTGGCTGCGAGCTTTGTAAAAGCTCAATTGCTTTTGACTTGTACCTTTATGAGAGCAGACTATGTGAAATATTCCATACTGACACAAATCTTGTAATTCTTTTTGGGTTTGCATTGAAATGATGAAAAGAAAGGAGAAATTATTGCAGTAGTATGTATTTCATGTAGTATGTAACAATTTTAAAATCTGTGCTCAAGTACTTCAGAAAACATTCAGACACTTCAAAATGCCTGTTTAGGTCTCAACCTGTCCGTTCAAATCATGCATAATTGCAGAGTACAATATTATCTCTGGGAGATTGGTTCAGAGAAGCTACTGCCACAGAGGTGCATTAGAACTTCCCAGACATCCTCCTTCTTGTCCCTTTCTTTTAATTAACATTCTTTTGATTTGAAAGTAATACAACGTATACTATAGAAGCAGTAGAAATTTTTGCAAAGAAACACCTGGTCACTCAGGACAGGAAGGATCACGACATGTTATTGTCATCGTTAGTTAAAGAACAAGTTTTATCTGACTTAATGTTGATGAAGAAGTATGTGTGCTGATGAAGGCAGCACTGGAGGACTAGGTTCAGTTTCCACCTCTTCCACTGGTAGACCTGGAAGATGCAATCATGCTCTGACTCTGATTAGTGCTTTTTGGTGGTTCTTCCTGCCTCATAGTGGACTCTGGTCTGTCGGCTAATTTAGCTCCACTGCTAGTACACTGTACCATCTTCATGAAGTTGTTGAGGGAGCTAACAGGCGTGCAGATTAATTTTTTTCTTATTTCTTAATGCAAATCTTCGTTAGTTGATTTTAGTTGCCAGGATTCTATCATCTGTGAACATAACTGTGCTTATGAAGGGAAATGTCAGATGACAGGGTTCTTTGCTGAACTTGTTTGTCAGAAACCGACTGGAGATGGACATTATATTCCTTACAGAAATCTGGATGAGACCTAGACCTCATTTAAAACACATTGCCTTTTCAGGACCACCTTAGTGACCACTTAGACCTGCTTACAGTTACAGTATATACTGATCTAAAATCTGATGAAATGTCGTTAGAGCTTCCTACTCTCTCTGAGAACAGTGTGCTTAGGATGTGACTTGAAAGAATATTGCACTGCTCCTGAAACTACTGGCTCTGAAAACTCACCTGTTATGTACATCTGCAGCTGCAGCATTTATTTTTTTGTTTAATAACAGTGAGACAAGTGAGTTTAGTATACTGTAGGCAGTGCTGATGCTTCTGGTATGTAAAAGGGTGTAGAGATAACACTGGTACTTTGCATTGACAGATACAGAGTAAATTACACTCAAAGAACATTTTCTTCTACATATCAGCTGAATAGCTGTTGGTATAAGCCCTTCCTAAAAGCCATTTCAAAGTTGATTGCTATGATTCTAAAGATTCTCATTATTTTCTCCTAATTTTCCGGCTGCTAATTTTGCTGGTATTTCTGATACACTGCCAATGTCTATCTACATTTAAATATACATTTAAGAAAAAATCTGAAATGTACACCTGGAGGAAAGGTTTCTAACTGAAGGATAAGTGAAAGTTTGCAACTCAGAAGTTAGTGAGTAGTTAACTTAAATGTGCTGTACTACTGAAATAAAGCTGGTGAAGAAAATGCTTTGCCTCTGTGGAACACTTTGAGGAGAAGCTTTTTCAGATTTGTTCTTTTAATATATATTTTCCACTGGCAAAACATGGGGGAAGATATCTGGAAAGTGTGCCCCTTCACCCCCAGTAGAAGACAAAACTAGAACAAATGGGAAGAAAAAAGAAATTAGTGTGTTGTGAGTAAAAAGTGGAAGATTTTGACTATGAGACTTAAGTAAAAGCCAATTCAGACAGAGGCTTCCACCCCCCCTCCCTGCAATAAAAACTTACTGAGTTTATACTGAAGTTCCAGCATTTATAATTGGGTGATTTTTATGCAAGCTAGAGTGACATGCAACTCTCTCAAATAGCAGCTTGCATTGGCACAGTAGCAGCATAAATTCTCCTAAATGTTAAGTGCATTTCACTCTCACTTTTCACTGGGATAACTGGAAAGTTTACTCTTTTCTCCTTGTGACCCAACTTTGGTTTTTTAAATGACTGAGAGGTAGCAACCATTGTCAACAATGAGGTCTGATTTAACTGCAGTTTAATTTTCACACTTCTGTCTTTTCCTATTTTCTCCCAGAAGGTTTTGCACTCAATAATCTGCAGTTGATAGCAATTTCCTGACTGTGGGTGGCTAGTGTCTTGGTGACTGTGGTATTGATAGTGCTTTGTTTCCTGTGAAATAATTGATCTGAATAGATTAATTTCTGTGAATTTTAGGACTCTCTATTGATGACAAGTATAGATTAAAGATGCAAAATAACTCTTAAGACCAAAATATTTTATGCTCTTAGGAATGATGCTCATGAATGAAGTCTACTAAAACCCTGTAGTATGGTAGTCTTCTCATAGATATAATCTTGCAGCAGCTTGGGGTTTTGAGATGATTAAAAAAAAAAAAAATTAAGAAACCTAGAATAACCTACATAGAAGCTCTTTTCTGCTGCTTCGTTTCAGCTTTTTTGCTATGGCTATATATGTGTGCAGATCTTTGCTTGTGTATAGAAACCTGGAAACACACCACATCAGAAATGGTTGGTTACTTAGTACTACAGTAGTTTAGTGCTTCTCAAATCATACAGTGATGGAGATGGTAGAAATTTGGAAACAAGCTTTACAATATATGGGGAAAATTATGCAGGAAAGGGCTTTTCTCATGCTGTTTCTCTGTTTGCCAGCTCTGAACGTCATCGCATCTGATGTTATATACTGAAGTCGTACGTGTACACAATGATGTTAAGCCAGCAAACATGAAAACAAGGAAATAGCACGAGAAAGCCCTTTGTCCTGTCACTGATTGCCGAAGAAATTTATCGTCTGATCTCCAGAGGGGTTTGGAAGTGACGATGAACTGTTCAAGCTGCCCTACTGAAAGGTATCAAGGGCAAGAATTTTTTAAAAAGAAAAGACAAAGAAATTTTAGTACATTGTGCTATAGTGTTCTACAACGTAATTTTGCTAAGAGAAAAGTAATGTGACCCATCCTTCTTCACAGTTGGTGATTATGGTAAATCTATTTTGCTTGTAATCATCTTCTTGTCCCAGATCTTTTATTTATTTTAGTTGAAACAATTAGGAACTTTGTTTCTATAAATATATTAAAAGGGAGCAATAAATTTTATTCATGCGTTAAAAAGAGAATGTAAAGTTCTTTATACTCCCTGCATTTAAACAACAAAAAAAATTGTTGTCACTTATAGCACCATTATACATGTTAAGAATTAAGTGTTATTTATATCTATTCCATAATATTTTTAATGATGTTATTGCTGCTATGGATCATACATAGAATTGATCAAATCACTGCTTTCTCATTTTATAGGCACAACAGTACTAGTGAAAAATGAGTACTTCCTACTTTCTTATCCACAACATTTTGTAATGAATGATCACCTCTTAAATAACTGAAAAGTATTCACTTAACTTTTAAAAATAAAATTTAATTTGCATTTTGCTTGCTGAAATCTAGATAATGTCTGTCTAACAGGTGCCATACATTTAACCTTTTGAAGTACTTTTATTTTTTTAAGGAATAAATCCAGTTGCTTGTTTTTCAGTATGATAAAATAGGAAAGAGCATACATACTTTTTTCACTGTTAGCCAGCACATGGGGACAAAAAATGGCCTACTCTTGGATTTTTTTTTCTCAAATCAATTCTCTATATAATTTTTTTTTTTTAATTTAAATTTTTTTGTTATAATTTGTTATTTAGCACAGGTCATTTAAAAAATAAAATTTGACTACCATAGATCTGTTTGCAGGTTGATTGCAAGTTCTTGTATATTGCCTCACATTTTAGGGAGTAATGCTTAATATGTATCATCTATAATATTAGAATTTCATATGTGATGCAAAATCTCTTAGGAAGCAAAGGAGTATAAAGAACCCTGTTTTCTGCACTTATATGAAGACATGTAATATTAGTTTGCTAGAATAAAATGAAATACAGACACTGCTTTTAACTGGGATGTATACAGTATATATAACTTCCTTTTAAAGAAAAAGTTATTAATGATTCATGAATTAGACTACAACATGGAATTCTTACACGTTACTGTATGTTTGATGTAAAGGTATTTATAGGCTTGTACTTAATATTCACGTTGCCTCAGTTCTTGGACTGCAGAATGTCTACCATGACTGTTGCCTAGAGTTTCCTCCACATTTGCTATTTGGCTCTTTTAAAAATGTGTATTTGGCTATTTGATCTGTAAAATAAATTCTATTAATAATGAAGTACTTATTGTAATTCAGCATATTGTATTGCTTAATTTTAGCTCTGACTGTTACAGAAAAAATTTTATTTCTGAAAATGAAATTTTCTTGGGAAGAAGTTTATGCATCTGTGAGATAGTTTTGCTATTCCTGTTTATCATACCCTTGCATCATTTATGCTTCAGACTGAAAACCCCAACACTATCAGTGGTTAGACATACAATAATGATATTTATTGACTCAGTGCCACAATTCAGCCAGTTGCTTTGGGTTGAAAGTTTATTCCTAATATAGTAAGGAATAGGTTCAAGAAGTATTTTATTGTGACAAAGGTTGGTTCTGCCTAGTGCTGTTACAGTTGTTTGCTTAAGTGTTTCGTAGGTGGGTGATAGGTGATGCAAAGATATTTAAGAGTAATAACCCTTTGTCCTAGTTGAGTTATTTGTCAGGAAGATTGTAGGATTTCACAGACTTTCAGTTTCTGGGTTTTGGGTTTTTTTTTTGCATCTTTGCATTTCTGTTCTTATGATAATTAGGTTGGATTTCCTTGATGACAAAACACATACACATAAAATTAGTCTTTAAGAAAAGCACCAAGTAATTTGAATGCTTACATTGAAAGGGTTTTTTTTTTTTTAATTTAATCAAGACATAGTGAGTTGAGATACTGGTCTAGGTTAATCTCATCTAACTTCAAGCTTGAGATTTAGTCATCTCAAGTAGACATATAGTTGCCCTCATTTTTTTCTCTGGTTGTGAAAAGGCATAGATAAACTATAGCAGGTTTTTTAGCTTTTGGGACTGCATGCTCTCTGGAAGTGCTTCCACTGAGTATGAAGAGAACCTCTGTTAAGTACTTATATAATCTGAATGTGCCAGTTATGTGCTTGCAGGGAAAAATATTTTTCATGAGTTTCCTAGTTCTTTTGATTTTAACCTAGCTGAAAGTCTATCTTTTCCTATTATTTTACTGGTCATATCATTTTAGTCTAGCAATAAATAGTTCTAGTAGAATCTAAGATTATTTTAAAGATTAAAGGAAGATACAGGTATGAAATAAAACGTGTATGAAGTGGTTGGATCACTGGTGCAAATCAGTAATCTTTCTCTTCTAAGTCTCTCATGTGTCAGCATATCCAAATAGAATAACCTTCGAAATGCACTCAGGGAAAAGCCAGCAACCTCTTAAGTGGTTCAGTTTCATGTTTCCCCTGTTTTGATTTTTGTTTTCTTACATCTGTGTATCACTTCTAAAAAAATAATTCTTTCACAGACTGACATAAGGCTTGGTCAGAGAGCTCATTTCCTTCTGATGGTTAATTAGGTTCACAAAAGCCTCAGGAAAGTCTAATGTGTACCAGCCAAATACGTATATGTGCTGAATATCAATTTCTATGTGTTTCAGTGATGCGAAGGCTAAATGGAGGCCAGTAAAAAAATTCTATATGTAGTTGTTGAGGTTTTTTTAAAATGAGTATTGGCATCCTGAGTCAAAGCTTAGGTATATGTGCATCAAAAGCAACTCTGTTTCTCAAATGTTTTCACTGACAGAAATACTATTTTCTGACTGCATAGAAGGCAAGAGTAAATAAAGAGCAAAAATCACTGAGTTGGCCAAATGCTGCTTTTGAAATTGAAAAATCATTATAAATTCTTTTGAATTTCAGTCATACTTGCTAAGTTATTTTGTTGTGCTTTAGACTGTAATTATTATTACTCACCATCTTCTCAAGAGACACATCCTTTTATCTGGTGCGCATTGCCACCCTTGTCCCCAGTGCAGACAGGTCTGTATCTACAGATAAAGTCCTAGAGTTTGTTTTTGGCAATGTATGGTTCAGCAAAAAGAATAGTTCTTCCTTTGTTGCCAGTTTTACAGAATAAATTAATTGCATCACTGCTTTTAGCTCTACAATGCCCGCAGCCAAAAATGGCTCTCAGATTTGCTGTTGTGCATCCTGTGTCATATTGTCAGTGACTGGATTTCATATGGATGTGTGTCTAGCAAAGCTCACTGCCAGTCAATCTTAAACATGCCCTGACATAAAGTGAGTCACTCCAAGGAAAAGCTATGGCACACAATCTGCAGTTTGTATGAAAGCTGCCTGTCGTATCAGAAAATATATTGGACTTGCGAGGATATCTTTAAATCCTTCTGAATTTAATTGACTGGAGGACTGCTGAAGGGCAGTAGGATGCTGCCAGGAACCAAGTTGGTTTGTGATGTAAATAGAATTCTTTTTTAACATAAACTGTAATGCTGTGGGGTGGTTTGTTTTTGTTTTACACATTTTCAGTGATTTCCCATTTTACCCTAAAACATATATTTATGGTACATCCTGGTCTTTAGTATTTGTAAAATGGTTTTATCAAATATTTTTAATATATTTTTTTGCTTTCCTATTGAATTACCAAGCACTGTTCTTTCTTTATCTATTTCTAAAATAAATTTTGTGTAAATATCATATTTGTATACCTTCTGGAGAAGAACTTTTTAAATACATCCCTGGTCTGTGTACTTGGTGCACGCACACCATCAAATCTGTACACATACTGGCACTTTTTACAGTGATTTAAAATAACTTTTCCATGCATAAAGTGCCATAAACTTACTAGTAATTTCTCTAAAGAGATACGCCTCTTTCAAAACCTCATAAGCAGTACATATCTTTTGTCTGCATTTTCTTCACAGAAATCTGGTCTAAGCAGGAATTCCAAGAGTTGTACGTTCTCTAATATCGTTTGCATCTATGTATGAGTGTTTATACAGTGTTTAGAACTAGAGAGAGATAATGCTTACATATATATTTCTGTGTATGTATGTATTGTGTGCATGTGTATATAAAGAAGCAGCATGAGGGTGGATATATGCATTTATCATATATTCAATTAGCAAAGTGTCTAGGAAGTATATATTGCATAGAATATAACAGTGGAAAGGTCCCTCTCTCAGTACCCAGTATATCTTGCTATGCATTGTAGAATTGCTTAAGTTGGGAGATGTCTTTAAGATTGAGTCCAACTCTTAACCTAATATTGCCACGTCCACCACTAAACCATGTCCCTGAAAGACAATCAAACTAAGAGTTTCCCTTTGTCACATGATTTTGAGATCTGGAAGGGTCAGTCTTCCCTTCTGAGAGCGTACTGGGTTCTCACTATATTAAAAAGGGACTCTTGATAACTTGGAGGTTAGGATATAATATGCTAAGTGCAGTTTTGAATTTCAGTCCTTTTTCTTTCAATATTTCACTTTTACTCATTCCAATACTGTCTCCCACTATTCTCAAATACTATTTTTTTTCCTATTACATAGACTCACTCTCTTAAATCTTGCCACTGAAACTGTAATGAAAATGACATTTCTTTCCTCCAAACTGTGAGCCTCTGCTTATTTCATAAATCAAAGTCATGTAAATCAAAGTCAGTCACTTATATTCATACAGATGGATATTAAGTGTGTTATCAGGATTTTTTCAGGGCTACTACTGAGTTTCTGCAATATTTAAATAAGTTTTATTCGTTTGTGTTTCGTTTTGTTTTTATGGAGTTGTTCATTAAAGCTCAAATAAATTCTTTCCAGTGAAAAAATGTATGATGATATCCAAGATGTGAGGTTTGAATTCCCATCACTGTGTTGCAGCTAAGATTTCTGAATGGAGTTCTAGTCTGTTTCTCAGCATAGTTTTCATCCTTCCTCTGCTAAGAGATGTCCATGACTGTCAGATGGAGGAACTGTTCTCTGTTTCCTTCTGGGCTGTGATGTTGTGTTCCTTTGTTCTTGATATGATTACTGGAGTCTGACATGAAGTTTGAATCCAAGACCTTTCCTCAAAAGAATTTCCTGCTTTTTATTGTCTAGGCAGTACAAGCACTTCCCTTTTATCTGTATGCATCAGTAGCAAAAGTTGCAGGCATATAGACACACTGACACTAATGTGGATCTGAAAGACTCCAATCACAGACTTTCCCCCACAAATATACTTTTTCTATATCTGTATCTAAACCAGCGGTGGGCTGATTCTTTCTTTTTTTTCCTCTCTTTCTCTTCTATAAAAAAAGGAAAAAACAACAACAGGAATTAGATTCTGGTCTTATCCAGACAATAGTGCATGAGAGTTCAGATAAGCAAATGACCCACAGTCGGAAATACTTCG